TTTTTTTTTCCAGCTCTGACCCACAGATTAGATTTATATGCTATTGGATAGGTTAGCTTTTAAAAAAAAATGTGTTTTGCTTGCACTTTTGGCATGCACTCTAGTTTGGATTTTGGTTATGAGCAGAAAAAAACCCTTGCCTGAGAATTTCAAAGGGTAGCCACATGCCCAGGAATAGAGGGGTGCAAAGCCATCCGTGAACGATGACAAAACTGTCACCTTCAGGCCCCAGTTTCAGGTAGTAGAAAAACTCCCTCACTTCTTCTTCCCGTTAAATGAAGCTAGACCACAATGATTAATAAATGTCTCCGTATCTGTAGGTTTCTTAAATCATTTGGAGAATAGAAGCTTTTTTTTTTTTTTTTTTTTCTTCTATGTATTGAAGGTCTTTGGTCTTTTGATGAATAGATACTTGCAGTTATTTTTCTTAATTCTCATCTTTGAGTAGATCACCCATTGCTCTTGCCATTTTACTGCTAGGAGAGATCATGAACATGACCCCACATTGCCACTCTAAGAAAGACTAGGTATTTATGGGATGTAGCTTCAGATTTATACCATTTCTTACTTTTGGAGGGCTTACAAAGTACCTAAATAATGTAATGGGAAAAAATAATGTTAAAAGACTTGTTGAGGCAGGGGTAAAAAAATCCCCGCTGTCATTAAACTTCTACTAAAGAAGAAGGCAGCTTCTACTTTGGGATGTAGCATGAGGGAAGATACAGATATCCCACGTTCGTTTCTGAGCTGGATTCACTTAGTAATGCATTATATAGGTATATAGGTAGGGAAGTGGTGTTTTTTGCTGCTGTTTTGGAGCAATAAAGGAGATAAGCTTATGAAAGAAGCCTCTGGGTCTTAAAATAAAATGTAATAAGCATTCACAGTGCTTGCCAAACAGCTGTACTAAAACACTGCTCGAAATACAAGGAGCATTTTAACTTCAGCTTTCTGCTTTCTTTGTGATTTCAAGCCACTTCTATTCCAGAAGAATATTAGGCAAAATATTGCAAGGAAGAAAACACAGGAAAAAAATCTTTGTGGCAAGAATGAAATCATCCTTATCACATACGCTGATCAATAACATTTAATAGTATTTATCCTTAGGGATCCAACCTTGGGTTTGTTGTTATTTTTTGTTTGTTTGCCATGTAAGTTTTGCCTTTCAAGACGACTAATAATCTAAAGAAATGTAACATCTCAGAGCAAAATGCATTAGGAGAGCCCTGAGATGTTCAAAAGCACTTATGTTAGCTTAATTCAACTCCCATTTAGGGAAACAGACTTGTCCCATAGGAAGATGTTTTCGGGAACGTTATCCTGTCTCTTTACTTAGCCCTGTCAGAGCCAATATTGCTCCTGTAATGTTTTGCAACCATTGCAGGCAGTTGAGAGATGACAAATATTTCAACAGAGGTGTATTGAAAGGAGAATTTCAGGTAAATGGAATAGAATTACTTTAAACTGGAAGCAAGCCAGGCCACTTCTTTTAACATCTGAATTTATTCAAAGTGGAAGATAGAGGAGGTGTTTTATCTGCCTACAGAAATGAACAATTTTTTTTTWAACTTTTTTTTTATTGATTGATATTGGAGTAATATGCTAATATATTATCAGACAAATATCACCGAATGATAGTTGAACCTAACACAACCACACCATATGGGAAGAGACTAAGGATTTAGTTCCTGACATAGAGTTTTGCCATTTCCTCATTTTGAAAGAATATCTCTGGGAGCTTCTGAAAAAAAGATTCTGCTGACTGAAAACTAACCCTTGATTTCCCCTTGAGGTTTCCACACAGACTAAGCCTAAACCTGCCTAGCAAAAAAGAAAAGATGAAGAAATGAGATAGCTGAGCTTCAGAAGCTGGATTTTATTTCCAGTGTAAAACATTTAACACTTGCCAAGTTTTACCTACCTTAATGTCATTTACTCATTTAAGGTGTGGTTTTACAGTCACTGGGTGAGGGGACATGGGGAGAAATATTACCCAGGATACAGAATAATAATTGGGCAATTAAAATGTTTATTTGCCTTTTTGGGGGGAGGGGAGAGGGGTGCTTTGTGTGTGTGTTTGTGTTTTCTTTCTTTGCTTTTTTTTTTTTCGTTTTTCTTCTACCTTTCAGCTTCTACAGAGTTTGTGAGAGAAGGGAGGGCACCCGGCCGGAGGTAGGTGTTCAGAGAGCCTTGTTCAAGGCCTTGGGCAAAGCAGTGATAGTGATCTCAGTAAAGAAAAAAAGTCAGCATTAACACACATCCCAGCAAGAACATGGGCCAGGGGAGGACCAGCCAGACAAGGGCAGCACCATCTCTCGATCAGTTCTTGACTATAGGGTCAATAGAGTATTTTTTTCACATCTTCTCTTCAAGGTTCAAGCCACCCATTTCTATGGGTGTCCAGACTCCATCTACCTAGGAAATGAGATAGGAATGGAGTTATTTGCACTAAGTTATGACCTTTGGTGCTATATCACTGAAGTGCATAAGCAAAAGTTTCTTCTGCCATTTGCTAAAACTCTTAGTTAAGTATTTGCAGTTACCAAAGATACCTTGCTTCAAGTTATCACCTACAGTTGGAGACCCAGGTACACCTGCATGGTTGTGCTTGAAGCCCTGCAACACAAGGGACATCTCACTGGGCAAGACATCAGTGTCACAACTCTAGTTGAATTTAGCACCCTCCATCTTCTTACCCCAACCACCGTTTCCATTCCCAGCTCGTTGTAGGAACTGTGGAATGATTCCTTATTTTGCTCAAGTCTGGAAACAGACAGAYAGGTAAGTGGGTGACACTTTGCCATGCTGTTCAGGCTATTGCATTTTGTTTCTAAGTTCACCTTTCATGTGTGTCTCTCTATGACTCTTGCCATGACTACGGCTTTGTTGAATACATTTCCATTTGCAGCAAAATCTCTCTTGCAACCATGCATAATTTCCATCGAAAGCCTCTATGTCCCAATTATGTAGAATTATGTTTTCCCTGCATGATCAAAAAAAAAAAAAAAAGAAAAAAAAGGAAGGAAAAAAGAAAAAAAGGATTAGGTGCTATGAATGAAGAGGTTTTAAAATATAAGCTGCAAAATGGAGCAATCTGACTGGATAACAAAGACTTCCAAGAAGAGAAATTAACACAGCAAAATTCCCTGCTTGGAAATAATTAGCCCCATCAGCTTCCTTCATGTTAATTCATCCATGATGAAAGAGGACAGAAATAGCAGGAGGAAAAAAATAGAAAAATTACAAGGAATTGAGGAATTGCGCTTTACACAGATATTGGGAGCAGGCAAAGCCCCAGAAAATCTACAGGG